TAAGTCGGATGCGCCGGCCGGAGGAGACCCTGTTGTCTGTAACAAGACGGCTGAACAGGGCCCTCCTGCGGAGATCGGAGCAACCGATGAGGAGCTGGAGCCCGGTTACACGTCGGACACGTCGACTCTGACTCGGGGCCTTGAGGCCTTGTGTCACGAGTTAGACGAGGATGACTTTACGCTGTCGGACGAGGACGACAGCAACAACACGGTAGTGAGGGTGGAATCTCCGGATGTCCTTGAGACTACGGCAGATAAACCTTCACCACAGTAAAGGAGCATCGCTGCTCTGATACTCCGCCTGGCTGGAGACGGAGACGATATAGTACTTGTCCAAGAACCTTGAGTGATTGGAGGAAAGGTTTGCGAACTAGGCAACAAAAATTACAAGCTATTAGTAGCTGGAAATGAAGGTCAAAAACGTACCAGCATCCTCGCGAAAAAACATCTAAATATTTTTCTGCTCCATAAGCACAGTGGTAAGCCTGGAGCTCCAGTAAGCTTCGGTAAGGCTACTGTCTGTCTATATGGCCTACGACAGCGCCGGCCCACCACCAGATGAGACTACATGGTCCCTCGTCCAGGAGTGCAAGAAGCACAGCATTGGCCTAATCATAAGCTGTGACGCCAATGCTCACCACTCTCAGTGGGGGAGTACGGGCACAAATCCGAGGGGTGAGTCACTCCTTCATTCTTAATACTAACCTTTTAGTATGTAATACGGGTAATGAACCCACTTTCATTATTAAAAATAGAAGAGAGGTCATTGATCTGACCCTCATCTCACAATCTATGAGTGACCAGCTAATAGGTTGGAGAGTGTCTGATGACCACTCCTTCTCTGATCACAGATACATCGAATTTGAGCTCCTCGCGAGCCATCCAGAACCAGTTCACTTCATAAATCAAAAGAAGGCGAACTGGGAAATTTTCAAAGCCAAACTTGACCGAACCCTTTCGAAACACCCACCGAAAGGCCCGGACAACTTAGCTCATCTCTGCAATCTGACAGAGACTTTCACCACAGCATGAAATAAGGCTTTTAAGGCAGCTTTCCCTATCAGTAAGCCAGAATACAAGAAGAAACCACCATGGTGGACACCTCAACTAAATGTCCTTAGACAAAGTTGCAGGTCTCTCTTCAATGCAGCGAAAGCGCAAAATAACGACCTGCAATGGTCAAAATACAAATCAGGTCTGGCTGAATATAAAAAAGCCACCAGAAGAGAAAGAAGGAAATCTTAGAGAGATTTCTGCACGGATATTGATTCATTTACTGAAGCTGCAAGGCTTAGAAAAGTTTTATCAAAAACCACACCCACACTAGGTTATCTGAAAAAGGATGACAACTCTTGGTCGGTCTCCAGTGAAGAGTCACTGGAAATCCTCCTTAAAACACACTTCCCTGGCTGCTCCGAGCAGACCCCGAGGTGCGCAGAAACCAATTGTATAGAGAACACATCTTTGAAGTCTCTTATACACAAAGGTAACATCAAGTGGGCAGTGAACAGCTTCAAGCCGTTCAAATCTCCAGGCCCAGGCCAAATAAGCCCAGTCCAACTACAAAAGGCGGGAAATACAGCCATAATCTGGCATGGAGGGGGGCGGCTGCCAAATAGTTGCATACGTAGATGACGTTGCTGTAATTTTCAAGAGAAAATACCCACAAACTCTCTGTGACCTCATGACTAGTAAACTAGACATACTTTCATGCTGGGCAAAGGAGAGTGGACTAGGGGTAAACCCAAATAAAACGGAACTGGTTCTTTTCACAAGAAATTACAAAGTCCCTTCTCTTGTCCCACCCCGACTAAATAATGTGAATTTGATTTTCAACAACAGTGCCAATTTCCTAGGACTGACACTGGATAGGAAACTGGACTGGAACCTAAATATCCAATCACGGGTTAAGAAGGCAACAGTCAGCTGAGCCCTCAACGGAGCCTCTTCCAACACAGACAATTCTCCGTTACTGAGCATAACCTAAGGGAATTGCATAGGTAACATCTCATGGGAGCCGGTGCCGCAACTGCTTCCCTGGGCCCAGCCCACCGAGCTGGTATGGTCATGTGCCTGCGGCACTGTCCTATTAGTGCTGTTCTACTACACTGGATGACCTCCCCTGTCTATGGCTTGATCAAATGTCTAGCGACATTCTCCGCACGGAGATCCTGTAGTATGTTCACTTTATTTGAACCTTTCATTAGCTCCTACGTTATGTAGAGAAATAAATGTCCACCAGGTCAGAGATCGGCATTACCCGAGTAAGGCTAATTAGAACAGGCGATCTCCGTTTACCTGAGCCCATTAGAGACTGGGCTAGTTTATAACCCGGGCCCCTAGCCAAGCTGAAACTCGGCACGGTTCGAGTGTCACCTTAGTTCGGTCAGGAGTGAGATGTGGGGATAAAATGGTGGTAGGTAAGTGGTGCGGCGAGGTTGGGGTTGTGTGCGGCAACGCTTTTAAAAGACGGTAGCACAGACGCCTTGTCAGTACGATTAACGTCACCGTACCTGCTGTTTGTCTGCTTATTTACGAGTAATCTCTTATTATTCGGAGCTAAATTCCCGGTAGGAAATCCTTTCAGACCCACTTTTATTATTTAAAACCGCAAAGAGGTCATAGAAATTACCCTTGGCTCATTGTCCATTAGCGATCAGCTAACAGGTGTCTGAAGAGCACTCCCTCTCTGGGAGATACATAGAATTTAATCTTACAATAAGCCACCCAAAACCAGATTACTTCTTAAATCAGTAAAATACAAACTGGGAAATTTTCAAAAGAAAACTACATCGAGGTTCAAATTCTTTCGCTCATCTCTGTAATCTCACAGACACTTTCACAATGCCATAATGCTTGCCCTAGCAGTAGGCCTTCACTCACAAAAACAATCCTCCATGGTGAATACTTGAACTAATCGTTCTTCTGTAAATTTACATGTCTCTTTTCAATGCTGCGAAATCACGGAATGACGATTTTCACTGGTCTTCTATGCAACATTGCGATAAATATGGGACACAGACAAGGCGGATGGTGTTGCGGTGACCAAATATATATATTTATATAAAAATATTAAAGTGTAAAATATTAAATAAATATCTACACTTTATTATTATATTCAAAGAAAATTCATATAACGCCCAACTTACTTTTCCAACTGCTAGAAAGTGACTGCCAAACTAGCTCAAAAAAGAGAAATATACAAAAAAAACTGGGAAAAAACCGAACGCAACTAACGGAAAAGTGTAAGAAGAAGCATCGTTATACAATGCGTAAACAAGATCCCGTTAGGCTTGGTACAGTTTTTAACACCATAAACACGAGTTTAATCAAATGTTGATTTCAAATATATGGTTTAGATGTAGCCCATACGGAAGTACTGCTCTTTGAACCTTCAAAGCTGTATCGCTGGAACGCCTAATAGAGGGTGTATGAGTTTGCCAACAAATTTTTCACATATCACCTGTTGGCAGTAGCAGAAAAGAACTTTTAATTTGTTTGGATTGTGTTTTAAATTTGAATTTGGTGCCCGTTGAGGAGTAATATAAATAGCACATTGTTAGTTTTAATTGAATTGGCATTGCTATCCACAATTCTGGTGGTAAGGTCACTAGGGTGTAACCTCTTCAGTCGTCGGTCGCAAACAGTTTGTCAGTATAACGGCAACTGTGAGAATTAATTTGGTCCCCAACCAGTAAGAGTCCAATGCCATTGATGACGTACCATGGCAGACCGGGGGCACACCGAGCAGCAAGCAATTGGGCCACCCTGAGCTTCAAAAATTGATGGGTAGGCGCAGTCCCCCTAAAATGGACAGCATAAGTCCATGTTGGCATAATGATTGCTTTAATGAAGATTGCCTCGGTTGTCTTCTGGAGCTAGCTTGTCGAACGCCGGCATACCCAAATGTTGTTAGTATAAAGTATATAATTTTTCGATCAGCATTAACAGCCGAGTCGATTTAGCCATGTCTATCCATCTGTATTATCGCGCCGATATCAAAGACTGTAAGATAGCTTCACTAATATCGATAAATATCGATTACCAATAGCAACAACAATTTGTTGTGCCTTGTTTTAACATTGATCAACAGTTGAAATTTCATCGAGATCGGTTTAGAAACAGGGATATTGTTTTATAAAATTGTAAATTCAAATATACCAAAGGAAATAGCGGGAAGTGAAAGCATTTTCTGTATGCACATATATAGACGAATCATACCTATACATTTGATGCACTATCTAAGATAATTTTCAATTCACATAGTCACTACAGCAGCTACACTAAAAATGATACTTGGTACGTGATTCGCTCTGTGTGAACTCAGCAGAACATTTATATCGCGTTGAAATGGTATAATGGTATACTGCACGAACAAAAACGAATGGAGTTTATCTGAAAAATTTTATGCATGTAAAATATAAAGTGTGGTCACAAAATATTTATTTATAAAATATTTATAAACTACTTTGCAGTATTAAGTAAGGAAAAATAATTCTAAATCAATCCAAAAAATATTGCAAGTTAAAGTTTATGAGTCTCTTTTTAAAAGAGAAGGCTTTCCCCTTTTCGTAAATTGAAGCCTGCAATCGTCTACTTTGAAAATGAAAACGGAATACTTTTTCGATTTCAGAAATTGCTTAATTTACAAGTGTGGAATCCCCACATGAAAACAGATTGTTTTGCTCTAATAAAATATACTCAAAATGGGTGCACACAATTGTACTTGGAAGTTTAAATTATACTTGCAAACGAACATATCTACACATCATCGCCATACATATTAATGTTTTTCTTCTATTGAAAAGAGACAATTTTTCTTCAGGTTTCCACAAATCTTGCAACTCTTAGCTCGTAGATAGCTGGTTTAAATTTTGTATACTTATAAAAAAAATGCAAAAATAATATGTACTCAGTTTTGTTTAAATTAAAATCCTTGATTGAGTGTGATCAATGGTTAACAATTATGCCACATGTTCGATTAAACATTTACGCAGTGCTTACTTTAGTAATTGTGATATCACTTTGTTTGTACTGGGTGTTTTTTATACCCCTTGATTGGACAAAGGTATGCATATATTTGTTAAAAAACTATAAGTGAAGTGATATATTGTTTTGAAATTGAAAATTCCTCGTTTTTTTCAAAGCTTGCAATCCTATAATATACATACTTGGTAGTTCGCGCACGTCGAACAAATTGGATATCCTCACCTCAAATCGTGATTCATTGTCTTAATTTTATTGAATTGGAAAGCTTCGTTTGCATAATTATGACGTTTCATTTCAACAAGTTTTATACTATGGCGTGTGTTATTTTCTCCTTTTTTGTTACAACCAATCAATCTTTATCTTCTTACGAATATCAGACATTATTAGATTGTTAAACACACAAATGATTTCAGTGCAGTGCAACGAGAGTTGCGTAAAAAAGTTGTCAACAATATACCTTTTACATCTGGAGGACTCTTGCTTTAAAACAGAAGGAGCTCTAACGATTTGTGGGGAAATAGCATCGGCAGTTCATAAAAGCAAATAATTACTGAAGGAAACTAAAATAAATATAGTTAAAGGTGGTACTAAAAGTGTAGGTGGTACTAACCGTACAGAGTTTGTTTGTATGTTATTAAGTAACACCTTCAAAGTGCCGATCTACTATCAATTATCTTAGCGTACCCACTTACAGCAATGGTCGGCGCCCATATAAAGGTAATTATACTTTGATACCGAAGGCACAAGAGTATATTGGGATTGTCCTTCATGCTGTATGTGCAGGCCTCATACAAACGATCAAATTGATGTGCGATGTCCACTAGGTGACTAGAATATCGATAAAATCGATAATCATATATTGATGAAGCCACATAAATTCCACAATTTTAAACCTACAATTACTAAATTTAGTTGGTAGGTTGTTGGTGATGTACTTCAAAGATCGGCATCGACTTTGTCTACCGCCGCCGTTACCAGACGCCGCCCATAAAGCTCCGAAAGGTCCAACTCTTCCTCACTTTTTGAGTCAGCGCCATAAAATTTGGTAGGCCTTTAAGAATCGAAAATGTTATGTCCACGCCTACACCTGCGCCCATAATCGCCAAAGCCGATATTTCGGAAAGTGTAAATCGATAAGTACGCATATCTAACACAATTTTAAGATATAGTTACCAAAACTGAAAATTAACTTGCTGGTAACCTCCACCGAAGATCGGCATATACTTTTTCTGAACAAGCCTGCACCCACCGCCCTAGAAATTTGAAATGCGCATATTTTCCACAATTTGTAAGCTAGGTCATCAAAATTTGAAAGTATTTTACTGGTAACTACCCCAAGAAATTGGATGGCCACGCCCACTCCGCCTCCCTAACACCGTTACACCTGTTAATAAACTAATAAAACCATTTATCTCGTACAATTTGAAAGCTAGAGTCACAAAACTTCAAAATTATTATGGACGTAACACCCTTCAATAATTCGTAGAGATTTTGTACCACGCCCACTCCCACAAAAACGATAAAAGCCAATATCTCTCGCATTTTCAGAGCTATAGTTACCAAACTTTAAAGGAAGTTTCCTATGAACCTTTTCCACTTTTTCCAGCCACGCCCACTTCCGCGCCCCAAAATTTCCAAAAGCCACATATCTCCCGTAATTTAATAGCTACAGTTGCCGAACTTAAAATGAAGATTGCTAGGAGCTTTGCCTAACATTTTGTTCAGCTACGCCCACTTTCTTGGCTACAGCCACCATGTTCTATCACTGTTATCAGATATTAATTATGGTATCAGACTATTTTGCAGTCGGTTACGCCCGACTGCAACGTTCTCACTTGTTTTAGTACATGGATTTCTCAATAAGATTAATAATATGTTTTGTTTAAATAGTAAAATAAAAAACACACAATGAATTTAAATATAGGAAAATTAAGTACCTCAAATAAAGAAATAAATAAAACTAACACGATTTTACAATGTCATGCAAATCTATATCTTCTTTATATTCATTAATTCGAAATAGGCGGCCATATGTTGGTCAGATATTTGATTTCTGAGCTTGAGGAAATGCAACCTCACAGCTTATAAATTACATTTGTCAGATTCAAATATTTTCTGTCTTCAATGCACTCACAAACTTGTTCTGCACTTTCCAAAGGTATTCCAAGAGGCTGTTCAAATAATTCTGTTAATTCACATGAATTCATGAATTTTTAGTAAACATTGTAAGATTTTTAAGACCAAGTGGATAGCTGGCTCAGCTAGTATCTGTACTTCCATCTTTCTTGGCTGCAGAATGAATAAGCTTATTAAAAATAGATCGCGAGGTGTGAAAAATGAGTGCAGAATAAAAAATCAATCTTTCTATTTTGAAGTCAACGAACGTTACAAGTCTCCTCAAAATTTCATGTACGAAAAACTGATATTTAATCGGCCACGTCTTATTAGAAACCAGGCCGTCTAGCCGTTAGAACCGAATCGCTAGACGCTCCTCAGCAGATAGAGCTGCCAATAACGAAATTAAGAAGTCTAAGAGCAAAACCACCAGTTAACGACCAAACGGGTAATTTTTCCTTTAAACACATGCCGCACAAAGCAAGACTGAGATTTTGGCATTTTCCCAGCATAATCATGCTATATGGACAGCCGTCTGATTCAATTAAGGGCTATGTATTTATCAATATTTAGAGGAAGCTAGTAAAAATATCCAAGTTTCATAACCTTAGCTAAAAAATAATGGGAGTAAACATTTTTCCAGATTTTCAGGGCGAAAGGTAACTTAATTTGAATTTGTTTCCCTTTTTTAAAGTGAGTCTACCCTTGAAATACAGTGGCTTTCAAGATTGAAGATTTATGTAGGTAACTTTGTATAAAGAAAACATGAATGACTAAGATACATCGGAGAAACGTGCGTTCATATGGACAAGTATTGCATAAAATCATTAGTATTTCACTTTCGGAAAAAAATCAGTTTTCATTTTTAAGCTAAGATAAAAATCTTGATTTCTTCCTTAAAACATGCAAGCCAATGGATGACAGTACTGGCTGGCAATTCATAAACAATGCGAACAAGCTGCGAAGCAAAGACAAGCGTGACACAATTAACCGCTTAAGAAAGTCACGAAAAATTGGATCAAAGGAATTACCTCCGCCATACCCAAATGGTTGGTATGGAGTTCTCGAATCATCCAAGCTTAAGGCTGGTGAATCAACATATCTATCTTGCCTGGGGGAGCATTTTATAATATATCGCTCACAAAAACATAAAGTTTTTATTTTGGATGCATATTGCCCACACTTAGGAGCTAACCTAGCAGTTGGAGGTCGAGTTATTGGAGATAACATTGAGTGCCCCTTTCATCAATGGAGTTTCAGAGGGACAGACGGAATGTGTACAAATATTCCTTATAGCAATTGTGGTATATCAATGGCTAAAATATTTACTTATAGAAATAAATATAAACTAAAAGATTGCCGCCTTTCAGTCCCACCGGCAACAAAAGTAAAGAAATGGAATTCCACAGAAATGAATGGATTTGTATTTGTTTGGTATAGTGTCGAAGGATCCGAAATTCCATGGACTCTTCCTAAATCTGTCGAACTTCAAAGCAACCAATTTGTTTACCATGGCCGCAACGAGTTTTATATAAACTGTCACATTCAGGAAATACCAGAAAATGGTGCCGATCTGGCACACTTCAAAGCAATTCACAATGATAATATTATAGCTGGTGGCTTCCACATAAAACAAAGTATTGTTCGCTACCTTGGATATCATCAATGGCAAGCAAGGTATTTCCACTAAGTTAAAATTAGAAGCCATTTTTATTTCGATTATTAATATACAAATTAGAGAATTCAAATTTATATTTAGGAAAAAATAATATTTAGCTTTAATAATTGTTTAAGTCAAATGTTTTCGCAATTTTGTAGGGGCGGATGTACGCGAATTTTACGTTTATTTTAATGAATAAACGCTGTAAAATTTTGAGGGATACAAGTTTTCGGAGAAATTTCTTTAACGCCTTTTTATTTTTAAAAGTTGCTGAATAACATTAAAATCAATGTATGCCGTTCTCTGATTTATATTTTCCATTTTATAAGTAATCCGGCTACGCCAGTTATAATTTCACAATAATGCGACACGGCTATCCTGACGCTTATACATCCTTGTGTAGTCGATAGATAATTGTGATAAACAAATAAGATGGCGCCTTGTCGGTATCCTATCTGCTACTTTTCCGTTTTCACGAGGAATCTCGTCTTATCCACAGCTGAACAACACGAAGAGAGGCCTGTCGCTATCTGAAACCCTTATCCTGCCTGGTGTTGTCCTCACCTCCGAACCATTTAACAAGTTCTTCAAACTCAATTGACAAATTCATACAAATATATATATAAAATACACATGTACAAGCAAAAATACCTTATGCTGTGTAATCCGAATACCTCTCGAAATATTTGCTCTCGTCCTGGAAGCATCCCATTTTGTAATTTTATTTATATAGTCTCTTTCGCGTCAATACTTCGGGTCTTGGGTATTTCGTCTGCCCATGAATGCACTCTACACTCATCCAAACCAATTAATTTTCCTACCCTGCATTTTATGTAAGGTCCGCAAATAAATTCTACCTAAAAAACCAGTCTACGACCAGAGCTGGTGGGTACTGCCTGGATTATGTCCACAAGACGAACTGTGGGCAAAACAATCAGACTGTAGACAAAAGGCGCAGTACTTATTGCGGCACGTACCTTATGCAGAATGCAAAAAGGGGTTAAAAATTAACCACCAAACCTATTTATCAAACTACTAGAAACTATAACTAGAAAGTCAAATTTTAAGCTACAGTTTAAGAATGTTTAATTTTCATTTTGGATTGTGCATTTTGTTTTCGTCCTTATGCTTTTTTTACATTTTTAAAAATTTTCCTTCTAGTTGGAACGTGGCCGAAGACAAACACATTGCCGAAATTAAGTTGAATCATTCTTTCAACCTATTTGGAAATTTTCGATGCTCTCAAATGAATGTTACAGGCAAACAAGTTATTATATTTTACTATTTTAATGATAAAACGTTTTATAAGTTATAAGTATGTTTTCAGATTGGGCCCGCCTATGTTCATATGTTTCTGCATTCACCAACATTTGGACATTTTCAAATATTTCAAACGATTACTCCAATAAAACCGTTACTGCAGAAAGTTGTTCACAGATTTTATGCAACCCGATTAATGGCTCCATTTATGAAAATTTTAATATGCGGGGAAAGCATTATGGTGTGTAAAGTATAAAAAAAAATTTTGTAACCTAATTATTGTTTTTTAATTTTAGTTTGAGCGTGATATTAATATATGGAATCATAAAACTTATCGGAATAACCCTTTGCTAGTGTTGGAAGAGTCTTCGATTAAAAAATTTCGGAAATGGTATGCGCAGTTCTACACAGTAAACAGTAAATCATTTCAACTAGCAAATAATCCGAGTTGGTAGGTTTAAATCTGTTTAGATCTAAAAACCTTGCATTATATTTTGGTATAATTATTTGAACATTATTTACAAATATAACAAATAGTTAGATTAAATTAATAAAGTCAAAAAGTTAAAAATAAAATAATTCATGAAAATTGTTTACCACAAATAGATTATGTTAATAAAGTTAAAGTAAAGTCATTAAAAGCAATTAAATCTTTCATGAATATTGTTGACAACATTGGTAGCAAATTTCGAGAAATTTTACTAACAGTAAATAAATCAGAACCCACGTTTATTACAATTGCTTATTACTATTATTATCGGGTTTCTTAAATAATAACATATTCACTTCACTATATACTATGTAATTTTACAACTTTGATGAGTTGGTTGCGTAGTTGTAATTTGCGTGCGTTTCGAGATTTTGGCACCAAATCATCGCAAAACTCACCATATCTTATCTTTTGTCACTCGACTCATAGTACGAGTTGATCTGTTATTTTTGACCATATTATTTTTTGTTTTGTAATTTTCGGGTTGCAAAGAATCAGGCAATTCTATACTTATTTTGCTATTGTTAAATATATTTTGATGTTAATTCGAAATAAATATATTTACCTTGTTTATGTATATTGTACTCATATGTGTGACATGTCTGTCTACGCGTATCTATTGCCGCGTGCCATTGAGGTTGCCCTAAGGCTATTGACGCGGCCTATTATCAGTGCTACTTGATAACAGCATCTTTCAATGTCTTGCGAACAGCCTCAGATCTGTGTATGTGCCTCTGGCCAATCCTCTACAATGTCGGCAGTCCGACTCTGAATATTCAGCCTACATATGATTCTACTGAGACCAGCTAGCCAAAGCAGAAAGAGATGGAACTAAATTGGGTTGCACTTACTTTATATATAAGGCTGATCCTGATCAAAGGCGAATGAGGTAAGTAAATAACAATTAATTATATTTTTCTTCTTGCGTGATTTCAACTCTCCGAAGGATAACTATATAACTGCATAAATACCTGACTAAATCCATCATTTCAACATCTTCAGGTTTTTAAAGACTATAATTTCCTAGCAAATATAGATGTTTAACTAATAATATCAAATTTGCTGCCGTCTTATCAAATTTGCTGCCTCTAATACCATATTAAAAAAATATGACTTCTTTGGAATATTTGTCTTGGGAGCAGTGTGCGATAGAAACAGATTTAATGGCTGACCTATTCAAGTGGCGAGGGGTGTACAAACATCTATTCACGCATTCACAGATCTCTGCTCCAAATAAGACACATACACATATTTCTTTGCGTATCTTGCTATAGCTGTGAATTTACAGAGATACGGACTTGACTTAATCGACTTGGCTTTTGTTGCTGATCAAGAATATATATAAACTTTATTGAGTCTAACTTGCTTCCAACTGCCTGATTTTTTTTATTATTGGAATACACATTTCAAATGAAGATCAACAGATATTCCATCTTCAAACTGAACTTTATAAACATATTTATAAATGTTCATCGACAGTACACACAATTGAAAGGATTCCCATTTATTTGTCGACTCTCTTTAAGATCGTCCACTTTAAGATTTGATGCTCATCATTTGTATCTAAAAATGGGGAACTAATTTCAATCGTTTCTAAAATGAGCACTAATTCTGTAATAAATAATTAAATATAT